AGTTGAACATGCCATCTCCTGGCTACCCCACATGTACCCTCTCTATCCATAACTCAGGTGCAAAGCAAGCATTTACTTGATCTAATTAAGAGATGCTTATCTTAAATTCAGCTGATAAGCTCGACTACACGCCCCCCTCGCTGTCATTGAAGAAGATGTGCAAGGTGACATCATCTGGCTTGTAATTTTGCATGAGTATTCCAAAGCATTTCCAATACTGCGCAGTTTCTATATGGGAATCTGATCCCATAACCGAACCCATTCCCCATTCCACCTTTCCGTCTGTTTAGAAAGTCAATCGGCAAATGACAAACAAACAGAAAAAGCGAATTGCGACAAAGCGCAAAACCAAAAAGTAAATGACCGCTAAAAGCAAGAACATTTGCGGTACATCTCGACCGTTCTGTCACCCTCTAAACAAATGATGTTTGCTTGTGTAAAGAGGTGAGGAAAGGAGGAGGGGAGAGTGCAAATTTCCTGGGATAATTATTAGATAAGAAAGAAAATACTTAGAAGAACTTAAGTTTCGTGATGAGAGATGCCTGTCTAGCTGTAGCGTTGGCTTAGATTTGTGAACATTTCTGGGTGGATGTATCGAGATGCCAAAGAATCCAAAAGCTCTTAAATATGGTGTGTACATAGCAAGAAGTGTTCAAGCATGTATGTAAGTGTGCTCTTCATATAAAGGGTACTACAAAATGTAGCTTTCGAAAGCCGATACACGCAGAGCTAATTAGACACACATTTTGTATGGGCGCAAAATATCGAGCATCGTAAATTGAAGTGCCTTGCAGTGCAATGAAAATGGAGAATCCGTATGCTATAAATACATTTTTATATTGGTGCATTTCCCCCATTGTTCTGTAGCTGTAGCTGTCAATAATGCTGTGGGTCCCACACACATTAGGCCGACATTATCGTCCATTTATGGCGCAATTAAGTGCTCATAAAACAAACATCGCAGCGCTGCATTGCTCCTCCGCTTTTAGCTCTGATTTGGAAACTCAACGCTCGGAAAACACCCAAACAGCAAACCAGAATCGCATTAATTATGTGGCTTTGCTTTCTGAGCCGTTTTTGGTGCAGTTTCTCGGTCTGGCTCTGGGTACGGCTCCGGGACCATGGAAATCCGTCCCACAAAACCGCACTTCGGCCAAAAGGCGCTTTAGCTGAGCCGGGAAAACCTTTTTCTGTCTGTATTTTGCTGCTTATTTACGTTTCTGTGGCCTTTTTCATGTCTGTGCTTAGTGAATCCTTTTGAATTCACCTGGGAAATCTCTGCCTGTGTCTGTCCTGCTCTGTCTGGGCAAGTGTTAATAATCATTAAATTTGCATATTTTGTGCTTTGCTTGTGATTTGAATTTCATAAAACAGTAGCCATGCCATGTTTCAAATACATAAATTATTCAAAACGAATATTGTCACGGAATTGGGCTTAACTTTTATTTAAGTAATGGTAATTGGACTTTTCGTTTATGAACCCTTCTCAAATTCTGCCAAAAATGGTCGAAACCAAATAGTTTGTCACAATTTTGTTGATCTCCCGAGAAAACCCTCTCCCCAAAAAGGGTATCTATGCACCGTCTAGAACAATTTCGCTACTTGTGCGAGTAACTGGCATTCTTGAAGTGGAAATCAATGCTAATTGAACTCGAGCTTGAACTGATATTTGACTTAATATCTTTCGAAATTGTTTGCGCACTGTGGCACATTGTTGCTGTTGTTGCTCTGGGTGGTTGTTTCTGGGGCTGGTGGCCCCGCATAATTCGATGGCAGCCGCTCGAAATTCTAACCGACTGACAATCACACTAGTGTCAAATGTCAACATCGATGATGATGATGATGATGATGATGATGATGATGACGACACACAGCCACTGGCAGAGGCAGGCCGAGCAAACATCTGTGTCAATTAGCCGAGGCGCAAAGTGACGTCAAATGGTGGCACCAACTGCAAGGGGATATAAGATGCCGTGTGCCCGTAATATATAACATTTAATTGACACGTGTATAGCTTGTCAACAAACACCAGAAGCTGGTCCCACTCCAAACTCCACGCACAGCACCAACAAAAAGTTTGCTGACAGGCAGCCCCTGTTGCTGCTGGCTTAAAGCAACACGGGCCTGCCTGATGTATGGCCACGCTAATTGTGTATTCAGATATCAGTGCATATATAAATAAAGACATACACATTCGTTGGTGACTCCAAAAAGAAAAAGCTCAAAAGGAAATCGTGCGAATTTCGAGCGCCTCTAAAACGCTTTTCTTGCTGCCAATTGGCTCTCGGAGGTGATTTATCGGCTAAACGCCGATGACGTTTTCAATGTGTGTTCTGTCTGTGTGGTGGTGTGTGTGTGCCACTTTTTGTTGCTGCGCTGGATGAATGCCCCGCTTGTTTGTTTGTTTGTTTGTTGTCACTCTCGTCGGTGGGTATTAGTGCTGGCTGACTTGTCTGGCTGTTTGTTAAACAAATCCGCGCCGTTAATTGCCAGGCAAAGTGTCAGCGCTTGGCCGAAACGGGGCAACTTTCCATCTACGAAATATTCTCCCATGGCATTGCGACACCGACACCGACACCGACACCGACACCTCCAACGACCTCCATCCCATCCCATACCATCCCATCGCTCGCTCCTTTGCTCCAGTTTATCCCATTAGGCGGCGCGCGTCTGCCTGTCTGGCCGCCGCTTGGCCTGCCACTTAATAAATATGTAGTTTGATGCATTATGCCTGCCTGGCTGACTGCCTGGTTGCATTCAATCAATGGCCCGCGACCCGACAGCCCCCTCGATCGATTCACGCATGCAACTTCTAGCGATTGTGCCCCATGCCCCAGTCGAGTAGACGTAGACGTAGAAGGAGTCTCCTATGTGTGCGTATGTTTTCTAGTGGCTTTTCCGCAAAATGCTTTTAATTCAATTTTATTTCAATTTAATTGCCACATTGCCGAGCTGCCGGGTTGTCGATGCCGCGCTACTGAGACTGTGGATGCAAGATTGGGGATAGGGGAGCTGGAACTGAGGGCAAACTGCTGCACATGGATAGATAGGCTGGCCTGGCCTGGCCTGCATATGGCTATATGCATATATACTACATGCATATTTGTATATGCACCGCTTGTCTATATATTCGTACGACCTGCCTATCTCTGTCGATCAGTTCGACAACGGCAGTGCGGCGCTGATTACTTTGCCTTCCTTTGCCACTCTCGATATTATACAATATTTTTGCGTTAATATATGTATGTACATGAGGGGGAGCAGGGGTGCGCATATCGCATCGTATCGCAGCCGTTTTGTAATGGATTTCGATTTGTGGTTCTCAAGTTTTACTATGAATTTCCCATAAACAATTTTCAATTGAAATGCTCCGGCAATTGAACTACTTTTCGTAGGATTTATGCATTCTAAATTGACTGCCGCAATGGGCTTTGCGTAAGTCGCAAGTAAATTATTGATGAAAAGAGAATATGGCCAAGGCATTGCAGAGTGCCGAGTGCAGAGTGAAAGACAGTCAAGTGCTTTAGCCATAATGCCTCTTGATGATCCGCCCCTGAGGCGTGCGTGCGTGTCTCTGACAGAAGTCGCGATTAATTGCTGTCACACAGGGAGCTATGTGTGTGGTGTACGTGTTATATGTATATATTATATGCATAATTGAGCATTGCATTGACGTCTTGATGATTGATTGACGACCTGCTCTTGCTGGCCTCCTTCTCAGCCTCATCTTGGTGATAACCCACACATCTGAATGGCATAAGTGAGACAGACATAATTAAACTTTCTGCGACCTTCAGCCTGCTTCTGCTTCTGCTTCTGCCTGATAATCATTACCCATAAACACACACACATGCATGTACGCTAACCCATTAAGACATTGTCGTCATCATAAAAAGTAATCTCAATTTTCCCTCTTGTCTTACTCTTTCCGCTTTAGAGCAATAAAATCGTTTTATCCGCTGCAAGGCAGTGGAGTAGAAGCCATGGATATCAGAAAATATTTAGGTTTATTGGCGCTCGTCCTGGTGGCTGTTCTGGCGCTCAACGGTCGCCCAGCAGACGCCTGCTCCTGCATGCCCTCGCACCCACAGACGCACTTCTGCAAGGCCGACTATGGTGAGTCAGACCGAATGGCAATTGTTGGCGAATTGAATATGTAAATGCTTGCATTTCTTTGACAGTTGTACAGCTGCGAGTGTTGCGCAAATCGGACACCATTGATCCGGGCAGGACCACCTACAAGGTGCACATCAAGCGCACATACAAGGTGAGCCAGTCCCGCGGCATTGGGATTTCTCTGGAAGGGTAATGCAATCCAATACTCTTCTTCCACTCTAGGCCACTCCCGAGGCACGTCGCATGCTGCGCGATGGCCGCCTAGCCACGCCCAACAGTGACTCCATGTGTGGCATCAGGCTGGACCTGGGAAAGGTCTACATCATAGCGGGACGCATGCCCACGCTGAACGTGTGCAGCTACTACAAGGAGTACACCAAGATGACCATCACCGAGCGCCACGGCTTCAGCGGCGGCTATGCCAAAAGCTGCAACTGCACTGTGAGTATTTATCAATGTGTAGGTGATCCTTTGATCGTGCTAACTGGTTTCGCTTTCCCCCCCGACAGGTATCACCCTGCTTTGGCCAGCAGTGCCTACGCCATCGAGAGTACTCCGATGGCTGCAAGTGGTCGCCGTTCGGCAAGTGCGAGCGCGACTACAGCGCCTGCATGCCCCATGTGACGCACACGGTGAATGGCAGCATCTCCCGCTGCCGCTGGCGACGCACGCAACTCTACAGAAAGTGCCTCAGCAATCCGTAGGCGGAAGCCCGCACTCCCCTAATCCTTGTTATGCTACCGTTTCTCTCTGTCCAGAGCTTTAATACGTACGTTATGCCTAATGTGTTATTTATTAATTGATGCTTTTGAAATGTAACCGAGCTTCGAGCAGCTACTTAATTAGTGTCTAGCTTTTAATGTTTATATATCGTGTACACTTACCAAATCGCGTGGATTCGGGAAGAAGGTCTGCTCGATCAGTGGAAAGCCGTCTCGGCCCAGACGTCGCTGCAGCTGCAGCAGATGCGAGAACACCCAGGGTTTGTCCTACAACCAAAGCACGTACATCAGCATCCATCACTCGAGCGAGGAGTGTCCTACGACTCACCTGAAACTGATAGATCGAATGCAGCGAATTGATGCTGGGCACACCGCCGTACTTGAGGCCCAGAATGGTGGAGCGGAAGTCGCTGGAACCGTCACGTGGCGGCTGCCGTATCAACACAAAGTCCGGCCGGAAGGAACGCGCAACCTGTTTTTGGTGTGATATTCCAAAAAAAGAAACAATCAAGTGGAATTTAATTAGATATTAGTACGCTACATGCAAAACGAACGAAATACACATTTTTTTTGTAATTTTTTTCATTGGAAAATATACGAATAAAAGCAATTTATTTAGATGTAGTGCTAGATTAGCAGAAAAAGCCCATTTGGAGTTTACGTATTCTTTCAATAAAACAATTTATTGAACTGACATTTCTTTGCTGATCAACGAACAACGAAGTTTCAAATCCGATAGACAGATCATCAATAAGCGATCAATGAGCGAAGTTCAAGAAGTGACCGCTGATATTTGCAGAGGCGCCCCAAGAAACGTTCAGTATAAATGTTGAAATCATGTAGAATTTATATTTGTGGGCGTGTCTCCGCCATGTAATGTAAAAGTATCAGGTGGCGCCAGCTGGGATGTAGATGTCGCGGCTAATTGACTGTAAATGTCACGAAAACTTTGCTTAAAATTACTATACGGAAGCTATCATCGGAGCGCCAACTTGTATTTTAAATGAAATAGCCTTCCGACTTTGGCCAAATCTTTATTAGCTTGGAATGGAAAAACTATAACACTTTTAAGAACGGATCTTAAATTCAAATTTGTACTTTATGGCTTGCTGCTGTGCTCTATTAAGAATGTTCCACTTGAACTAGCTACGCCTTCGTTTAATTTATTCTCCTTTTTATTGCCACCTATGCACGACACGTGGATCTAGTACAAATTAAAAAGTATTTATTACATTCAAATGTGTTTCCCTCCATCAACGCAGCTTATTGCCACTGGCGCCTAGTTGCCTGACCGACCCAAGTGCCTCGCAGTCGTGCCACAAGTGTTTTTTATTGCCGCTGATAAGTATGCGCCAGTGCACTGGGCAGCATCGTAGAGCCACCAACAAATACGACTCGAATATAAACTGTGAAAAATGGAGCGTCAGAGTGTCGAGCTCAAAGCTGGACAAACTGGGAGACAATGGCCGTTGATGGACTGCCAATGCTTAAGTGGTGGTCGGGCAATGGATTAAACCCGCTGGCGCTGGCTGGCTGGCTGGCTGGCTGGCTGGCTGGCTGGCTGGACACCAAAGTCCTTGAGCCACCCACTGCCACGGCTTATTTGTGTATTTGTGGCGGATATAAAGGAGAGTTGACAGCCCAGCGGGCAGTAAACGCAAAAACGGATGGCAGCTAAGGACTAAAGCGACGACTGGCCATTGCACTAATTAAGCGCAAACAGACCCTGGCGACAGGGATAACTTACCCGAGTGCCGCTGCGGTAGGCGGCCATGGTGACTACCGGTCCGGTATCTGCGCTGGAGACCACCGTAATGTCCTGCGAAAGCACACAGACACAAGGACACACACAAAACACGAACAATGATTATTCCGATTAGCAAAATGGTCCCCCAGGTGCTGGGCGCAGCTTACCCTGAACTCGGCCTGCTCTACGCGTATATCGAAATCGCCGTGCAGCCGCCTGCCCCGGAAGTACTTGGACCAGTCCGTGTTCTGGTCGTCCAGCACCAGGAGCGTGAAATACTTGTCCTTATTGAAGGCCGGCGTCCGTTGTGTGGCACTCTGCACAGCAGCTCCTGTTGGGTAGAAATTACAACATCCGGAACATGGGCAAGGGACTTTAATCTACAAAATGTAGCCAGATCATACCCAGTATGGAGGCGCCCTGATCTCGGGCAGCGCCCGTCAAGCTCTGCACTCGCTGCAGCAGACTCTCGCGCGACTTGGCCGGACTGGTGGGGGCACTGACACCGCGCGGTGGTGCCGGAGCCGCTGTAGTCGGCGCCTTGCCGGCACCGAAGCTTAGCGACAGCTCCGGAGCGGCTCCAGTCGGTTGGCCAGGCGCCGATTGGCCCGGTGCCGGCGGAGGCGGCATATTGGGAGGGCCGCCGGCAACCGGCACCGTCGGCTTCGTGGGCTGGTCTTGAATGGGACGAGCCGCTGGCGGCAAGCTATTGGGATCGACATCGTCGACCTCGGAAGACAAGTCTCCCGAACTGAATCTGCGCATCGTGTGGTGGTGGAATGTGTTAGTGGTGGTTGGGTGTGTGGTTGGACATGTAGTGGTGGTTCGATTGGTTGATTGATTGATTGATCGGGTGATTGCACACAATTTTAATTGTGCATCGCAGTTGGGTGGCAGTTGGGCAAAAGGTGGTACGTACACGAGAACATACAAAGTTCCACAAGAGACACAGAGAGAGAGAGAGAAATGGAGAAAGAGAGAGAGAGAGAGAAAGAGAGATGGGGGAAAGAATAGACAAACATATGAAATTTCAAATTAGTTTCGTTCATCGAGGCCCCCGCCCGCCCCAAGTCGGAACTTGGCACTTGGGAGTGGGGGCACTTCCTTTTTAAGGTCTTTACCTTCTCTTCAGGAAATTAACATTGGAAGTGAAGCTAGATTTGAACGATGAGAAATTCAGGGTGCTGCTTTTCGCTTCCTTTAGAGTTGCGGCACGCCGGAAAAAGGGGGAAATACAAAGTGGATTTTATGGGTTCAGTTTCGGTATCGGTAACGGTAACGGTTTCACTTATCGGTTAACAATTAGCTAGAGTGCTTTCAATTTTGGCATTCACTAAGCGATTTCCCGAATTGATAGTGCATAGACATTGATCGTACTTTAAGGCATAAACTTATTTAAAGCGTTACACATTTAAACATAAAATAAAGGCACTTAAACGGACGTCTATCTGCCTAGGTGTTTATCGGTTTCTCATCTGTTTCTGTCATTACCAATTGATAATGGATAAACTGTTGTTAGTTTCCCACCTGATGTGGGTGAACGTTTTTGCTATGTAGCGTGGTCCATGCGGCCACTTCGAATGTGAATTTTCACAGTGAAAGATGGTAAAAATCGTAAAAAATCATCACATATTGATGGCAATTATGATTGCCCTCTGCAATGGTGTGGGAGGAAAAACCCATTTCAAATTTCATATGTCAGCTGGTTAGGATAACGATTAGTACATTATTTTGTATTTTTGTATTTAATGAACTCTCTAATGCTGTCCACTTCAACTCCATTCGTTTCACTTACAGAACTGCCGGAGCAATGGGGTTTGCAAAGTTGATTTTGCTAATAGGAAAATGTGCTGAATGAGTGGCTAAATCCATAGAACGGACGGAGGTAAAGGTGCTGAGTCGAGGTCGAGTTAAGTGAAAACTAAAAATCCATTAAAAACGTTGCAATTAGAAAAGATTAAACCAAAAGTTTATTCAAATATGCGGCCACTGCGAACAGAACAGAACAGAACATAAAAATAAACTGCACATGAGAATGGGAATGTGAATGGGAATGGGAATGAGGTTGAGGGTGTACATTGTGCAGGTTAAGTAAACTCTTGCAACAGGTGCACTTGCCAAGGACAATGGCCGGCAAAGTGGAAATGTGCATAGCTGCCACGACAAAGAGCAGTCACAAAAAACAGCCATTATATTGCCAAGAGTCTTTTGTGTGGCATTTGGTGGTACACAAAGCAACGAAAATCAATTTTAGCCAGGGATTGGCAGGGCCAGAAAAGCGGCTGGACTGGGAATTGGGTCCTTGGGTGGCCTGCTGTCAACAGTGTCAGACACTTGTAGACCGGAATGTCGCACAACGTCGAGGCCTGCGGGCTCTGCAAGCACTTGAAACTTTTCAGCCTTACATTAGGTCTGGGGGCCCACTCGGGTGGCAGCCGAGCACGCGCCACACAGAATCTCGCCTGTGGGTACAATTTGAAATTATGCGTGTGGGGTGCTTCCCATTTGATTGAAGTTTCGTGCGGCCACTTTAAGAAGCATACGGGAAATAATGGAAAACTTAAAAGCTGAGTGAAGGCGAAGCAGGGCAGGTGAGGTAATACGATATGTGGCATATGATACGTGTGATAGAGGCAAGCTTAGGTGAGTTAGAGTTAGACATAGTTAGAGTGTTTGGTGGCTGGTGGTTGGAGGCTTGGAGCAGTCTTACCGGTGGCGGGGCGCAGATTCGCCCACACCCAGCAGTTGCAATGGCGCTAATATTGACAGTGGTCGACAATGGAGTCGAACAGTTGGCCTCGGATGCTCGCTGATGCTCGGCTTTGCTTGCCTAAAGAAGCTCTTCTGGTTGCTGCTTTAATCTGAAATGAAAAGGGAAGAAAACACATGAGAAAGGGTTGAGAACTTTAAGCCCAATTGTCCTGCTGTTTCAGCTCGAAAAGTTTTGGCCACAACTATCACAAAACAAACGGACAACAAAGAGCGTGAAATCGTGGCTGCTATCCGACTGCTGTCCAGCCAACTGAACGAGTGACAGTCGGACTGACTGACTGACTGACTGGCTGCCATCTGTAGGACCAACTGGCTGTCGCCTTTGTGGCTGTTGCCAGCGACTGGTGGGTGGCAAGCCAAAGATTGTTTTTGGTTCATTGCACTGACACTGGCCGCTAACTAGGACAAAGCATACAAACACAAGTTCCCACACAACTCCGACACAGTCAATCGGGCAGTCAGGCAGTGCTGGAGACTGACTCTACCCAACATTTTGCAACAAAGTGTTGTATGTAAATAAGAGCGGTCCCTGCCCTAAACAAATTCACATCCTCCAGGCTTTTCGTGGCAGAAACCCAGCTACATAAGTGTGCGTAAATTGCGTTAATATGTCCCAAGGCACATTCGAAATTTCTGCTTCACTTATCCCAACTGAAATATGTATGCCAGCCAAGGGCAAAGCAGGAGTTGTGCAACTTTCTGTGGCAGCAATTGAGGGTCAAAGGCTTAGAGCCTAAAGTCGACAGGTTCGTCGAGAGAGAGAGAGAGAGAGTCGAGACAGTTTGAGACTCTATTCCTGATGAGATGTACATAATTTCAAAGTCATTACAAAGGCAAAAATATCCAATTTGAGAGACCTAATCTCATTCATGACATAAGCCTTCCTAATAAGTTGCTGTGCCCGTGGCTGTGGCAGTGTCTGTGGGCATGTTACGTAGACGCAGAGGACGCCACAGAGTCTGTCGCGTTAAATTGTCTCCGCTCTTGGCGCCCACACTCGCTGAGGGCATCCTCGAGGTGCTCTTCTCAGCTAAGCCCACACTCTGCACTGGGGCTGCACTGGCCGCAGGACATGTGCCGCTCTTCTTTGACATTTGGCATTTGGCTGGCTGGCTGGCTGGCTGGCCGTGCAGCGAAATGTCAAAGTTCAGCGCCTGGCAGTGCCAAAGAGAAACGGTGAGCATGGCAGCGGAAATGAAATGCTCACCGGTAGGCTGACGGCAAACTTACCCATTGGCAGTGACAGAACCCCGAATCGATTTCATTATTGATGGCCTCAATTGTTTGCCTCTGCCATGCCGAATAAACACGCCAGAACTCCTCGGAGTAACTTATTTGCCGAGTGACTTTAAGCCTGATTAAATGATGCTCCACTTGGAGGCTCGTTCTCTTTCTAGTTCTCGTTAGTGTGCCAATTAGGTTGGACAGGGCCATCAACTGTCTGGCTTTGAAGGGCAGCTGGCTCTCCCAATGTAAACTCTGAATGAGTCTGCTTATATAATTCATATGATTGCTACCATAGCAATGCTTTTCCAGCCAGTGAAACTGATTTGGGGAATATTTTCGGATGCCCTACAGTCTGCCAGACTGCCTGTCTCTGTCCCTCTCCCAGTCTCTCTCTCCCTAGGGCCCGTGTGTATGTGTGAAAACTTTTTGAATTAATAATCACAGTAACGTGTTGAGGGTCTCGGTTGTCGGTTCTCGGTTCTCGGTTCTCGGTCCTTTTCAGTTGTGTTCCCTCTGCGTCCCTCGGCAAGTTTGTGGTACTGAAGTGTTTCTGGGCTGTTGGCCCGCAACTTTTTTGTAGCCAGCATAAATCTGTGCTGGCAAAAAAAAGTTATGGCAAGGCTTAACCTCTGGTCGAGCTGATTCTGGGTTTATTTGGCGTTGGATTCAACTCAGTCTGCCACCGCAATCCATCAAAGTCAGGGCGAAATTAAAGTTCTCTCCCTTCCATTTATTGCAGCTTAAGCCGCTGCATTACTGTCAACTAGTTATATAAACTGCACTGGGGAAAAGGAAAGGTTTTCGCAAAGCTCCAAGAAGGAAGCCACAACCGGAGTTGGAGCACCTGAAGCTATGTTTAGCCCCTTTTTCGTGCGGCATTTCCGTTCGGGTTAGTTTCGAGCCGACGCCGGCGCTGACTGTGCGCCAGGCATGTGCGTTGGCCTGTCATAAAACAGGGCTTAATGTCTTTTCGATGGTAATTAAAAATGTCAACGTTGCGTCAAGTCAGGGAGTCGCAGTCGCAGTAGCAGTCGGTGAGTCCAGGGACCTAGATTGTGTGACTGTTAACCGACACGCAAATTGTTTTGATTCCGACTCGTCCTAAAGTTTAACTCCGCCTGGAGCCTCTTCCTTGGTGTTATTTTGGGGTCAAAGACTTGCGCAGGTCAAAGACTGACCACAAAACTGTCTCTTCCCCAAACGGATCGCCGGAAAACACCAGACAATTTTCCCTTGCACACTTCTAGGCGGACAGTGGCAAATAGTTATCTTGGCTAGAGTTGCCTCTGTGTATAGCTGGGATATCATTTCTTTTTGCAAACAATTAGCAATATTAAAACCACCCAGTGGCACCCCCGTTGGCAGTGGGTTTGTGGGTTAGCAGGTTGCACTCCGCAGCACGCTTTAATCGCCGACTTAGTCGCTTCAGCCCGCTCTCTCTCTCTCTCTTTGTTTTACTTGTAATTCAATAAAGCTATGTTGCCTCTTCTATCTATCCTCTGGGCCACGGGGCTGGGGGTCTCCGTTTTGTTGTTACGGCGTCTGTCTACGCTTATCACGTACACACACAGACACCTATACAAATGCACATACAAATACACACAAAAATGCACACGCACACACACACACCACACACACAGATACTCCGAACAAACAACGCTGACTGGCTGATACAGAAATTTTGTACAAGTATTTTTCTTTAGCCGTGTTTCGATTTTTTGGCAGTTCTTTCGAGTTTGAGTTGCACTTTTTACCAACTGAATTATCCTGGCCACGATTTCGGTATGCAATGCGCGAGAATCTCAGTTAAGTTGTGAATGAACTGTAATGCTGTTTGGGGATAGATCAAAAGTGAACACAAAAGAGATATTTTAGGCAAATTTGAAAGGCAAGACTGTGCTGTGGAATTTAGAGAGCAAATTGCTTTGACTGAACTGTCGACGACGGTGATGAAATTTTCACTGAGCAGCGAGTTTGGTTTTTGTATAAGAATTTCCCAAACGGAAAATGAGTCTAAAGACATGTGAGAGTCCAGAGAGAGCAGGAGAGCGATTAAATAGAGAGAGAGAAAGAGAGTGAGAAAGTAATCTATAACCAACGTGAAGAATTGAACTTAATTTTTACTTAACAAATGCGAAACTAAAATAGGAATTAAATAGTAAATGGCCCCAAAACATCATATATTATTTATTTATCCACTTTTAGTTCATATATTGCATGAAATTCTAATATTTACCGTTATATCTAAGCAGTTAACCAACACTGGCTGCTCTCTCCGAGACAAGTGCCATCCCCCCTGAAGCTACAGCGCATGAGTCGGTTGGAGAGTCACACGCGCGTATCGATTCATTGTTGCTGCGTTACTCTACAGATGCCAACAACCACCGCACACACACACACACACACAGATACACACTCACATGGCTTTATTTTTATCAGCAAGTGATAAAAAAGGGGTCATGCCAGACGAGCTGTTGCTGTGGGCGGCAAAGCTGCAGTTTGAAAATCATTTTCCAGTGATCCGGCACCACCATCCAACCACCATGGGAACAAGCACAGACACACAGCAGAAACGGCAAAAACAAACGGAAGATGTGACCAAAAAGAATGAGAGAAAGAGCGAAGAGCGAAGAGACGGGGGAAAAAAAGAAAACAAAACAGCGAAGCACCGGAGCTGAAAATGAAGCTAAAGAGCAGCAAAGCTTGGCTTAGAGCCAGCACGTTGCCTATTTCCGTCTGCTCGAATCAGTTGCCAACAAACTCTCGATCCGTTCAGTCGAGTCCAACGTGTCAAGCGGAACATAAAGCAGTGAATTTCATTCAGAGTTCTTCCAGCTTACGCGTTTTATAGATCCCCACCACATCAGTGTACAAAGTGCAGTAGAGGTAGCTGATATTAGCTATACATAAACCCAAAACATTAGTTAACAAACTGAAATGAGCAACAAACAAAAAGCCCCCACAATAAGTAAACAATAAGCTGTTGCATAAAACTTGTTTTCACGTGTCGACGTCGCTCGCCTTAAAAGAGCAGCAAAAAACTGAAGCTGCCGTCCACAGAGCACAAAACCCTCTGAAGTGAAGCAACAAAAAATATTAAATATTAATGTTAAATAATATACAATTGTTTCTGATTATGGATAATTTCATGCGCCGTTTTGTTTCCTGAATATTTCTACAGTTGAACTTTAAATGGAATAATTTTAGAGCGCCTGCGAATTTGCACGAAACTGCGAGAAACTTGCAGCTTTGTTTTCCCTCTCTTAAGACGGCTCTCTTCGGTTATCTCTCTCTCTCTCTCTCTCTCTCTCTCTCTTAATTGCAAGTGCTCTTAAGCTCCTAGCTTAAGTTCGTTTGTTTTTTTATTAAACTAAAATGACGAAGTTTTTGCTGTAAAGCTTTAGCGTTGAGGCGAGTATTGCACATTGTGGCTGGGGTTGCATAAAAAATGTTTTAATTTATGAGTTATTTTGAGAATAGTAAAGGCCAAATGTGTGTTTGAGTGTGACCAGGTGTTCGTGTGTGTGTGTGGTGTGTGTGGCGTGGGTGTGTGTTGGCCATTTCCGCTCGAGTTTGTTGTTAGAAAAGCGTCATAAATCACATGTGTGGGTAATAAATAACTTTTGCCAGTCGAAACATGGAAGTCAATGTAAAACATAGACTCCTTTCCACACATTCAACATTTTGGAATCTATATCGACGGCAAATCTAAATCACTTTACGCATAAATGTCACAAAATGTCACATTTCAATAATTGTTAGCCTTTGGACATTGCTGTTTTTGTCATTTTCGAGCACCATGACGTAAGCCAGGGCCAGCCAGAGCTCCAATCTGCTCTCCTCTGAGCTATGTCAGTGTTTGCTTTTTGCCCGGCCGGACAAATATACAATTCGCACAAACTTGTTTTCAGCATTCCGACTCATTGTTCCATTCGAATTCATTTGCGAAACCTTTTTCCAAGTAAACGGGCGGCACGCAGCTTCATCTGGGAGCTTATTAGACACTGATCGATGGGGTCGGGGTCGTCTTAGCGTGATAACGAAATCAGAGTACGTGAGAAGTGGATGCGTTTGGGCCCTTTTGGGCAGGAGAAACTCCTCCAGATAGAGAGAGCATATTAAAAGATTAGAAAACTGATGCACTTGTGTCACGTTTCCGTACTTAAACTTCCCTAGAAAGTTATGCCCCGAAAGCCACAAAACATCTCGAAATCATCTTGAAAATGCAGCAGGGGGAGATGAAAACGAGCTGATAAACCGCAGCCGCAGTGAAATAGTTGGGGTTAGCTTCGTTTTCAGCTCAGTTTTCAGTTCGGTTCAACTTAATAATTGTTCTCTAAAGTTACGTTGACTCATGCTCATCGCTGGATGAGTAATTTAAGAGTAACTTTTGTTGGAATGCAGCTGCCGCCTGAGCTGAGCGTGATCCGCATGAAATTAGCCATAATCAAAGCAAAACAATTTGCACAATTGCTCAATTGGATGCTAAACGAGTGGGTTTTTGCAGTTGCCCAAAAGGATATAGTGACGCCTCAACTACCACTCCTTCTCCTGCTGCTATCCAATCAAAAGACTGAGGGAACGAACGCGTCGAGACACACGCGCACGATGATACAAAGGCCAAAAACTGTTGGGCCTGGGCTCACTGCCTCAACGCTGCTGCTCCTGCCCCTGATCCTACTGCTGGCTGGACAGGTAAGTGTATCCGACTACTATGTACGACCAAGTGAAAGATAATTAGACCACTTTCTGGACATTTCACTTTTCATTTGCATACAATAATGTTCTCGGGGGGCCAGTCATGAAAACGAGGTTAACTACGGCCCGAGCCCTCTGTATCTGTCTTTCTCTATCTCTGCCTTCTTGCCTTTCTGCCTTCCCCACTTTCATGGCGACTTGGTTCGGCTCTGTGAATTTTCCACGGCAATTTTCCAGGGCAGACAAATTAATGAACTCCACAATGACTGCAGCTGGGCCAGTTTATCAATAGCAATTGCCATCGCCATCGCCATCGCCATCGCCATAACTATAACTCAGCGGGCAGCGGCAGCAGTCTTAGTGGTTCACTTGGCCCTCAGTTCTGCTGCCACACCGAATGTGCCACTGACCGATATCTTAACTTTTACCCAACTCTGTACTATGTGCCCCCAACTCCCTAACTTGGTCCATTGTTCGTGAGCGCTTCAGGAATGCTTTTCGGTTTCGGTTTTGGTTTCAGTTTTGATTTGGTTTGCTTTGATTTCAGTTTTCCTATTAAATGGCACAAATCCATCAGAGTGAGAGTCAGGGCCCTGACTGCTTTTCAGGGCTTGGCATCAATTGAAATTGGTTCAAGTCTAGATTGTGGTGTATTGGGGGGCTTTGCCATAGCTCGCACTTGGGGGGAACTATAAATCATATATCATTTTCTCGAGTACAAAAGAAAGTTTCATTGCAAAACTATTCAGTGTAATTAACTATATTCGAAGACCCGTATGAGGAGTTTCTTTTTGCCTATAAAATCTGCTGAGAATTGTTTGCAGGAATACAAAACGGACATGAATATTATGTCAGTGACCTTATTGATTGACAGAGTACTTTCAAGAGCAACCGCTTAAAGCCTATACTGAAAGAATTGAACGAAAAACTCTTCTTTCCTCAATTTTTCCCCCACGGCTATGTCGTATACAATTAGTGTCAAACACTCAATTATAATGGTACCCTCAGAATGCCCTTTCTCCATTTTTTTAGAGCACTTAAAACCTTTCAATGAGCCACTTTGATTATCATTTATGTTTGGCCTAATTGATTTCTTTACACTTTGCATTTCAAACATCCATTTATCCCCTTCAAAATGATAACGGGTGTGTTGAACTATTCCTTAGAGTCAGCGGCCGAATGCGAATGACATCATAAAAAATGCCGGGGCTGGGGTGTAGGCGTAAAAATACGCTCTTTGGGCTTGGCAAAAGCACTCGGCCTACAACAGACAGACTCAAACACTTCAAACAGAGACAACAACCACTTTGGCATCTCAGTTGGCTTTTCGGTTAATGCAAAACTCACAAAACCTTGAAGCATAAAAGCAACGGCAAACAAAACGCAGTCTCGACGCTGTAGATGATGCTTTCTGGGATGATAATGATGATGGCGACGCTGATATAAGTCTGCCCGTCTGCAGTGGCCCTAAAGGCAGACAGAAATACACCAAAGATAACCACCTATGCGAAAGTAAATCTCTCTGTATGGGTGCGTGTTAAGTATCTGTTAAAATTGAAACTTGGCTGTGCTTACGGTACTTTTGATGCTGCTGCTGGTAGCTGCTGGCTGAGTCGTTGGCCGCTTCCACACAGTCCGCTTTTCACACTCATTAAACAATAAATGAACTTGCGCCTTTTTCAGCGTGTCTTCTCTTACCCCAGAAAGGTTGTTCGCCCAAAAGCCAAGAAGCCAAGAAGCCAACAACTTGATATGCTTTTCCCATATGCTTGGCCCATTAATACGCTCGACACACACTTGACTTGACATAGAGATGCCCAAAATATGCCGACGAATAACTCATTTTAATTGACGCCTTTTTCTCTTGGCTAAATATTGGCTATTAGTGAGTGCGTGTACTTGGTGATAATTGTATTGTTGCTTGTTGTTACTGCCATGGCCATATGTGTGTGGCTGTTGTTGTTGTTGTTGTTGTTGTTACGGGCCATTAAAATCAGTTTCAATGTCAGCTCACACAAACAGAAAATGAGCTGAAATATGCTAATTCTCTCGATGCCATCCAAATCCAATACAATATGAATATATGGGAATATACATACGAGCATGTATTGGTAGCAGCAGCTTGTATACTGAGCAAGTCGTCATGGCTTTGGCCTGCCAGCAGCCATATAAGACAGCGATTGCCAGCGAGAACAACCCAAGCGATTTTCGTTTCATTTTATATAAAGCACACACGAAAAAAACGAACAGAACAGAATGTGTCTTGGGTATTTGGGCAGAAAGTGACGTGTTGAATGTGACCGCAGGTAGTCCGTGTTGGCCTGCGGCTTAAACTGTTCAAGTTCAACAAAAAACTGGCCAAAAGATACAATTTTAAAAGTAAAGAAGCCAAGCATACTCTTGTAGAACAAGATTTTTAATGTTCAATGCACATAAGAAATAATTTGAATATTCATGGTTTTTGGTTTTTGGTTTTTTATGAAGAATAAAATAGCTTAAAATCTACTAAGCAATGGGAAAGTATCAAGGAAAAGGTGGCTAGAATTTAAGAGCAACATGAGCCATCCACTTATCCTACCCAGTATTTGTGTAGTGTATCAAAAACAAACCGCAAAACCCATTCTTGACTGACAAGCACGTGCTTCACAACCGCTGCCAAAGCCAATTGAAGTGCCCCACACAAGACTTGCCCCTTCCGTATTGCCATTGCCCCCTGCTCGAATGATCCACTGATGCGGTGGCCTGCAGGCAATAAAACCTTTGATACGCATATGAATGTGCTCAAAAATATGATTCATTGTTTACTGTGCCTTAGTCGCACATGTGTTTATTTGTTTCTTAGAACCCGAGATGAGGCAGCATGAGGCAAAGTAGGGAAGAAAAAGCAGCTGCTAGACAAAAGACTTGGACAACAAACTTGCTGATTGTCTGGGCCACCATTTAAATGATATTCTTTGGGTTGTGTTCTTGTTTTATTATTCCGTATTTAGTTTTTTGTTTCCCTCTCGACGAGTGTGCGGAGGGCTAACGGTTTGTGGCAGATACAGTTGGCCGAGCCTCGCTCCCCTGGAGAGCTATCAGCAGATACATTTTTTGTCTGCAGCTGATAACCGCAGCCTGCCAATGAATATCCGCCGGCTTAAGCATAAGCCATTATGCTCTAATTAACAGAAAATATGACCACACTGGAGTCCAACACCAAGACCAAGACCAAGACCAAGCCCCTTGGCATATTGACCACAAATATCGGATGCAATGGACCTGGGAGTTGGTCCCCGAATGGCTTGGTTGTCATACTCGGAACGCAGCCACGACTGGGGCAATTAGAAGAGGGGCAACCAGTTTGGTCACTGCACGCAACCTCAGCCAGCAGTGGGTTAGTAGTATCTGTGTCTGGACAGGAAGCCGTTGCCTGCCATTGCCGTTCTACAGACATAGATAAAGACTGAGTCACAGCTCGAGTCTGCTGCCATTAGATTGAGTGTGGCAGTCGCAGTTAGATTCTGATCATAATTCTCTCGTTTTTACGCAGGGAGTGCCTAAAGGAAATGGCCCGCAAAGTTTTGTGTTTATGTAAATTTCTACAAAAAACAACTGACCACGAAAAGTGGTCTATATTCATGTCAACTACCTATGTATAGGTATGTTTACATTTCCGTCTGTAAAATATATCCAATTCTAGCCACTCTGAGCTGACGCAATTTAACGCCGCGTTGATTTTGCAGTGCAAAAAATATTTCGCCCAATGCTAATGCTGTGCGAATGAATTGTAGCGTGAAAGCCATTAAAATGTATGCAAAAGTGCTTGGCATATTGGGTCATCTGTGTTAGACACTCGCAGCAGCCAGCAGCCAGCTGCCACCAGCATGGAGAAAGTTCTTTCTTTTGTTTGACTTGGGCTGCCTCTGGGTCGGTTAGCACATTTCATTATTTGATTAACTTGCATTGTTCACATTGCAATCCCACTCCCAATGTGGTCTGGTTTTGCGCGGCTTGCCGCTGACTGTGGCTCTGTGGAGCTCTTCTCAACCAGGCGGTCGGCCTGTCACTCACCGACTCGCTCCCAGCGAAAGAGCAGCAACAAAAACACTTTAGCAATTGTTTCTACCTTTGTTTGGCTATGCTCCAGCTTCGGCCTCAGCGGTAAAAGTAGGTTTTATTTGAAACTAATGGGAAAAACCATTTCCCTGTTCTGTTGCCAGCAGCACAGTTGCCAGTGCAGTGCACGCTGCCTGCCGACTGTCATTGAGGCTTTATGCCCAGAAAGTTTCATTTGGCCATGTTTTGTTTTCGTGTATCTGTCCGTGTATGTATGTGTTTTGGCGGAATTTCCTTTCAGATTCTGTCCAGGCAAATGATGCGCATGGAAAGTGCACATTTATGAAAATTGCACACAAATTGAGGGCTTTCGGTGTGGTTTCTGCTTCTGGGAAAACTCTGCGAATGGGTTTTCCGTGCAGAAGAGGCAACATTTGACAGCAATTAAGGCAATGGTCAAAGAAAGTGTGACAACTTTAGAGCCAAGTCAACATCACGATAAGCTATTATTTCAATCAACCTACAGATGACTCAGGCGACTCAAGTCGAGGCCCCAAAATGGTACAATGAAAGTTAAAATTGCGGCGCCAGCCCATCAAGAGAAGCAGAGGAAACCTGCACCTCAATCTCAACTGATTTCCATCTGCTCTCCCATTCAAACCTTTGATTAATGGTTACTACAAAGGGAAACAAATGTTAGAGATTATGAACTGATTCCAGAACTTTCGGCACTCACTCAGTTTTGGGCTTAAAGGAGGCTAATTCACTTAAAGAAAGCTCTCAAAACATTGCCAGCCCTTGTAGGGCCTCAGCTTAGCCCAAGAATATAAAGTACTTAGCATAATTGCCCCGGCGGCATATGGAGAAAATCCATTAAAACGAAACATGGCATTGAGCCATGAAGCTACTACATCGAACCACGGTGTTTAATCAGGTACATAAATAACCAGCAAAGGTCTCGACTCGCCCAGAACCCCATTGGAATGCTGTTCGGACATTTTTTGAAGAAGTTACCAAGCTTTTTCTATTGATTGCTGTTCGGCATGGCCAAGAAAAGGCCAGACAGGCAGAGGGAGACAGACAAGTGCTTATTATTATATTAGTGGTACGACAGCGTTTCATTATGAGCCAAAGAATTGACCCATTCACCAGCAGCAGCAGCAAGTGCTGAAAGGGGGTCCCAGCTCTAGCTCCGGGTCGCGTAGCCCGAGAACGTGCAGAGCCGCTGACAGAGTCACAGAGGTGGAGTCCCAATCCCAGTCCAAGTCAAAGTCCGGGACGTGCCATGGAATTAGCGCGTCAGAACATCAATGGAAAAGCGCGCCGGCAATTGAAATTTAATTGAAGCCACAGCGACATTAATTGCCGACTGCTTTTCATCTGCTTTCCTCGCCCAAAATATTTCTCCTTTTGCCTGGCGTTGAACCCTAGGCTAGGCGAGCCGAAAACGATGGGTAGATAAAACTGTAAGGAAACCCTTTCAGCTGTCAGTTGGTCGCTTGTCTGCATTATATAATCAGCCAAAGCTCGGAACGAGTTTCGCCTCTGTCAGCTTCATTAAGCTTTTGGCCAGTTCCAGGCCTCGGCCGCATGCCCAGCCCCAGTCCCAGCATCAGCTCCAGCTCAAGCTCAAGCTCTGTCCAAAAAAGCCAGCTATAAACATAAATACCCAATGTCCACGGACGCGTCTCTTGGTGCCCGCTCCTACCTAGCTGGACTGTAATGCGAGTTAAACGGCAATTTATGTGCTGCCAGCGAAAATACCGTGACAATTTGCAATCAGCCGCAGTCGGAGCGACCCAAACCCGAGCTGGACTCTGGGCCCCGATCCAATCCGCTTTGAACCGAGGCTTGGCTCGGGCCTTATGTTATAATTTACTTTGAGCTGAGCTTTATTGCTCGAGCGCCACATAGCGGAAATTCAAATGCACGCGAAATATGTTAAGAGCCCGGACTCAGACTCAGAGACAGAGAGACAGAGAGACAGCGACCTCCCCCCTTCCTTTTGTTATGCACGAGTTTTGTTTTCGCTTCTAATCCGAGCTTGTTGCACATCGGAATATGTGTGTTCGCCAATCTGTTCGAACGGCTACGTGAATGCGCAGCTGCACTAAGTCTTTTGGCGATTGTATCGCTCAACTAAAGTCGCAAACAAACAAAAACAAAAACAAAAACAATAACCAAACAGAAGACAATAAAAAAAGCCACAACTCTTGCGAAATGTTTAAGTTGTGCCCAAAGACGGCCATAAAAGAAACACACCCAGCCACGTAAATTGAGTTCAATTAGTTGTCCACATAAATCACAATCATTTGTGACTTAATTGCCCTGAGAAAGGACGATCTGCAGAGCTAGATGAAAGATTTGTTCCATAAATGTGTCTCATACATGGAGCAAAAATTAATGTTTGGATTTCCATGTTCCAGCAGCATTTCAATGCCCCACAAAATCGTTGGATAAATTCAATAAAAGTCCACCATTAAAGTTATTGCCAGCCAAATAAAGGGGCAAAAACCGCAAAAACCCATCAATTCTGATACCTTAATGCCTGATGTTTTGTTGTGCTGCAGAGCATTTTGGTGTCGGTGCCATGCCAGCTCCAGTACAAGCCCCTTTTCTCACAGGAACTCGGCAGTTTTGTCATTCTTAAGCGGCTAATTGCCGCTGCGAAAAAGCAACCAGAGTGAAAAAGAAAGAAGCGGGCCATGAGCTGAGCTGACTCTCCTGTACTAATTGCTCACGTCACTTGGTTTAATAGTTAAAGTGGCTAAATGCGGCGGTCCGAACACTTTTGGTTTATGGCCTGACCCCTTGCAGCCATATAAATCAGCGGCAGGCAACGTCTTGTGTCTGCTTCTGAGGCTTTGGCTTTGGCTTTGGCTCTGGACCCACTTAATGATCCTTGGCAGTCAGCTCTCCAGCTGTGCCTGGCTTTGGGGGCTACGTTTCGATTTTTCGATCCGATTTACATGCGGTCGAAAAGGAATTTTTGAATAATCGCTGAAGCATACTTTGCAGACATTAGCCCAAGTGTCCTGCGGGGCTTTAGGCTCTTGGGAAATCAATCAAAATCAGAGCCGCAGCCGGAGCCGCAGCCGGAGCCGGAGCGCGGCTCATTGGCCATGGCGTGACTGGCAGCGCAAGTGTCTAATTGTGTGTTTCGGTTTTAGTTTGTAAATTTTCCACCATGGAAAGTCCAAACACAAACACAATCAGAGCGTGTTGCATAATACAAAAGGCAAATGCTGTTAAAAATGTTGTTTGCTATTTTAACAAGCCGCCGCAGCTCGCAGCTAGCAGTCCTCCTGCCTCCCGCTCGAAACGATAGTGAAACGAGCATGCAAAAAGTATTTTAATTGACTGCAGTCGCAGTTGCAGTTCCAGTTGGCAAAAATCCATGCAAAACAATTGCATTTTGCCGAGCGACAAATTGTCATGGGAGTTGGATCGAAGCTGGAGCTGCAGCTGGAGTTGGAGTTGGAGTTGGCATGAGGCAGAGACAGAGACAGAGGCACAGCCACAGGGCCCAAGCCAGACTCTCATGTGACCCTCGAACGTGTGCTCGGCGCATTGAACTCCTGATCGGTGCTGGATATGGGTCTGTCCGCCATCGCGGGCCTTTCATTGTCTCTTCTTTGGCACAAAGTGGCCCGCGCATTGAGATACAATAAATTGCTGATGGCATGCAAAGTGGATGTTCTAGTTGCCATAGAAAGTGGCACACTGGCCAACATGTTTTTGGCGCTGTCGCTGACTGTAGCCTGACAGCGCCAACGGATCGAACTGGGTCATCCGGCTGCATTTCACTTGACGCACAGTAGCAGTAGCCAGCGAGCCAAGGAAGGATTGACTGGAAAATTAATTGCTTTAATGACTGAACAAAATTTCATATTTTTGTTTTGCGATCCCTCAGCGGATCCCAGAGCTAGCTGATCCGATCTGAGCTGAGCTGAGCTGAGCTGAGCCGAAGGGCACATTGGCTGCAGCATTTCGAAAGTAAATATAAATCAAAAAGGCCGGAGAACAGTTGCGCCTTTCGCCCGGGACAGGCTCAATAGAGATTCGGCTGTGAGTTGGGCTCGGGCCAGGGCCCGAGGGCCCGAGGGCCAGTTGGGGCTGTGTGCTATGGCTGGACCACAAAGGCGGCGTCTCTCTGCGATTGTCATGACATGACTTACTTAACTTTTGTGCTGCTTATCTAGCGCCTACAGTCCACGGTCTCCCCAGTCACCACAAGCTCCGTTTCCCTAACGTTCTGTGGCTCTGTGCTGGCCCCCAAAGCTGGAGCACAAATTCAATTATCACGACAGAGCGACAGCAGCCCAAGTCGAGCATGCCAATAAATTATCTTAGAGCCAAATGCCTTTGACAGTGCGCGACTGGAACGGTGCTGACCCAAAACGTGCAGAACATTGGCAGCTCTCTTGGCCCAAAGTTCTGAGCAATCTCTGGGGCTCTAGCTGTTGCTGTTGCTGTTGCTGTTGCCTTTGCCTTTTTGCAATTAATTGCGACTCGGGCCGACTCTTTGGTTTAGCTTTTAAAATTAATTTGAATTTTCCTCTTTCGCTGGGGCTGCTGTTTCGGCTTTTTTCTGCTTTTTTCTGCTGCTTTTGTCCCATGAGTTGGCGTTAATTTTCGGACCATGTGCGTTAGTTCCCAGGGTCCAGAATCCAGGTCAAAGTTATTAGCCAAAGAATCTAATCAAATCTCTACGCTTTTGTTTCCATTACACAGGCTGCCACACAGGAACCGGCGTCGTCTCCCAGCGAATTTGCGCCACATGTGACGGCCACTTGCAAGGCGGGCACGATGAACATCAAGGTGAAGGTGAACTCCGGCTACACGGGCGCCGTGCATGCCCGGGACTTTCGCACTCCGGCCTGCATGGCCATGGGCGATGGCAGCGATGCGGTTGCCTTCAGCCTCAACCTCTGGGCCAAGCAGGGCGCCAGCGACTACTGCGGCATTCTTGTCAGCAACGTGAGTGGAAGCAATGTAAGCATAACCGTTCATCGCTTCCCTAACCAAAATTAATCACTAAACCAGGCACAATCGAAGATGAAGACATTTCATTGTTTAAACTAATCAATCAAACGAGCAATTGTTACGAAAGTGAAAGAAAGGAAGTTCAATTGTTTATGCAATGTAATTGTCCATCCGTGAAATACCTTTTCTTACATCTGCAGCACTTCCTCCTTCCTAGGCAAGTTCGTTGCCTAAGTCTTTCGTTGGCTGCTTTGCGCCTGCTAAATGGCAAATTAGTTTGGTCAGCCATTGGCTATAATTTGTAAATTACCACCAAAAATTCAGGCAGACAGAAAAAATCACCAACTGTGAATTGTTGGGCAATCGCAGACAGCTGGAAAACCTCTCAAGCAGGCGCAGCAAACAAATTTTAACTTTAACGAGAGATACAGAGAGACAGAGAGACAGAGAGAGAGAGAGAGAATGAAAGAGAATCTGAGAGCAGCAGAGACCTTGTATGGCTAAAAAGGGCACGCATGCGCATAAATTTGCGACCGCCTCTACCGGAGTCTTGACTGTGCAGTTGAGTCTTGGCCCCAAATCAACGCAAATCAGCTAGAGCCGCAAAAGCCAAAGCCAGTACCAAGATGTGGTGGACTGGCCCCAGTCGTAGTCGTCAGTCTATATAGTAACGATGGCAATAAAAATCAAGTTTAATCCTACGTGCATCACGGGCGTTGACAGGCGACGACTGCAATTCCGTGTGGGTCTGCGCTACACGCACTCGGACAACGCCAGACAAAGGCAAATCGCCTTGGCCATAGTCATCCTATATAGTAGATGCGCTCGCAATACTCGTACTCTCGCACCCTATGCACTTGGTTGAAATGCAAATTAGCCGCTGGGCACCCGGATGGCAGGGGGGCAGGGCAGACCGCATCATGTTTATAAGTACAAGCACATACAACATTATTAATTGCAATGTCAAATCGCACCGACCGATCCCAATTTCTGTTTTCTCTGCTGTTGTTTCTGCCTCCTAGAAGTAGGGCCTCGCATTCGATGCTGAGGGAAGATTCAGGATCTTCTTCCCTGTGCTTGGGCCCGGACTAGGGCCCACCTTCCGTTTGTCTGAAAAAAAAGGGAGGTCCCCCATAAAATTAAATCACGCTTATCAGGGCTTGGATTTTATTTTTATATGTTCACGTACATAAGCATCCGTATACACGAGTCGACCGACGGGTACGAGTTTTTGCCCAGTTCTCTGGGAGTGCCTTGGCAGCGTGCGCCGGCGTCTAGCTCCAGCTACAGGTCCGGGGCTGTGCCTCTGAGATCTGAGACTGAGACTCAGACTCTGACTGGGGCGAGACTGTTCTGAGTTCACATGCCCAGACACGGCTTTCCACGCTTCGACTTTGACAGCATTCCAAGCCGTTGTTGTGGCCGCCTGCCGCTTGCCGCCTGCCGCCTGCCTCTGCGTGGAATTTGTGTCAAAAGAATGTTTTTTGTGCTGCGGCGCAATTTTGATTCTATTTCTTGGCAAATATTTTCGTTTTTCCTTTAATTGCTCTCGAAATGCCGGCAGTCTTCAGCCTTGTCTGACCTTGGCCACAGACTGCAGCACCATCCACTCCCAGGCTGCCTGCCTCCCACTCTCTCTCTCTCTCTCGTTGAGGCATTGCTCTGGTCTGCAGATACTTGCCAGAGCATGAAATTGGCGCTGACAATGGCCAAGATGCCAAAGCCGCAGAAACAATTTTTACATAGAGTTCAAGATGTTTTTGTTGCTGTTGGATGTGGGCTGACTCCGACTACAATTCCAGCCGTACTTGAACCTATTTCTTATTACCAACGCAACGTTATTATTGCTATTATTTCTGCCATTTTCGTGGCGAGTGGGCTGGCAGGCAGGCAGGCAGGCAGGCAGGCAGACAGAAATTGTTAGCTATTATTTGATGATGGCTGTTATGGTTCTTTGTCTGCCACCATTATGTACACATTTAAATGTTAATTGCAAATGCAATATGGCCAGAGACTGTGGGCAGGGACAGATAGACAGACAGAGAGACAGAACAGAGAAGAACCTCAGAGCAATTTGCCATCAAGCAATTTCAACACATTTAGCCCGGGTAATGGGCATATGGAAAATCAACTTTGCCATTTTCTCGGCTTTTGATAATAATAACTTGATAATGAGCTCATCCGCCGTGGCATGCAACTGCGTGATGCATGAGTTGGCCAACAGATTGTGACATCATTGGCCAACCTGCCAACAGCCTCGCGTTCCCCTCCATTGAAGACAGTTGTGATTGCAGCAGGCGATCCTGCTGCTGCTGCTTTGAGGTATTTATAACTGATTCGATATGTTGTGTTTATTTGCTAACTGCTTCAACCAAGCCAATCCAACTGACCAACGCCATAACCATAACCAATAAAGCAAATCCAACAAACCAATAATCAAGCCAACTCATTCACCAGATGAGCTGACAACATTTAATACAGTAAACACCAGAAGGCGTGGGCTCCACACCACACAAAATGATTAAACAAATAATAAATAAATACAAAACTTAACCATTTACCTATAAACTGTTTACTGGACAATGTGCAAACCAGTTTTACAGCCAGCTGTTGTGCTGTGGAAAAACTTATGTAAACCGCCACAGAAGTGACAAAGAAACTTGTACGTTTTTTTTCTGTATTTTGGAGCCAACAGAAAATATCTTTTTATGGAAAGCTGTTGTGTTACATGGGATCCGATTTCGGTTGCGGGTCAAGGCCGATCTTAAGTGCAAATGAATATTACAAAACCCAAGTTGGGCCAGAGAGCAATTACCGCAGGAGATCACTTCTTGACCACCCAAGCGCAGAGCGAGTCTCCACAGTCACATATCGCTGAGCCTCGGATGATATTCAAAGTGAATAGAAAATAATTACTGCAAACCAATGATAGTGCCACTCATTAAGTGGAGAGTAAAGCAAGCAACAAGCAACTAAGAAAACCAACAAATGAATGAGAGAGAGAGAGAGAGAGAGAGTGAGAGCGACCACAAAGTTGGAGTGGAAAATGCTAAGGAGAAAATAAACAAGTGGAAAATGCGTCACACTTGGCGGCATTTTGCATTTCCTTGTTGCGCGATTGCATCATGTGACAATTAACATGCCACAAGTGCAAGTACGAGGCAGCCACGATCATGGTGCAGTCTTCTATGTTGCTTCTGTTTCTCTTTTTTTTTTCATGGTGGGGCACAAATTTCGGTCCTAACTCGCCTTCTCCAACCAATCAACATTAACGTCAGGGGCATTCAGCTTTTAATAACCGGCAATTAAATGGACTTTTCCCCCAATCTTTCCCTCCCCACAGCGCACCGAGGAGCGATCCATACAGCTGGCAGTGCGTGTGCACAAGACTCTGGAATTGGCGGACGATAAGTTTTATGTGATTACCTGTGGCAAATCTGGCTACACTCGGTAAGTTTTTGAATGCCCAACCTGTCTAGACAATTGCACTTAAATCGCAGTTCCAAACGCTTGGGCTGTAATTTTTTGGTCAGGCTTCCGTCAGCCCAAAGTGCTCCAAGTTCTCCATTCTCCACACCGATTTGCCAATTGCCAACCAACAACTCTGCCATTCTGCCAGTCGGCATACAACAAATGAACTGGAATCAAAGCATCACAGCAAATTGTGCTGACTGGCCATAGATCATAGAGTGTGGGGGGATCGTACCTACATATGAACATATGTCTGTAGGTGTTGCTCTTCGTCCAACATTTTGCCATTGTTCAAATTTCTCCCTCTCTATATATGTAGAATTAGAACTCAAGGCCATTAAGCTCTTGCCCACAATAGGGGGCTCTTTCACTCGATCTCTGCCGCTTTCGGGCAGAACTTTGCGCAGAAATTCCCAAATCCAAATCCAAACAAATTTTTATTGTTTACTTAGCAGCAGTTCAATTAACGGTAAACGACTCAAGGGGCCACTGATAATCATCTGGAGGTGAATGAGAAACAATTTAATTTACCATCTCGAGCCTCTTGCCTCATTTGCATAGTGCCAATGACTCGCTGCCCCTCTGCCCCTCTGTCCCTCTTTTCCGACTTACGCAAGTCTATCTCAAAGAAGTGTTCATGGAAATGGAATGCCAGCTTAGCTATAGAAAATACACAGCTCAAGTCTGATATAAAAATGGCATAAAAACGGTTTTTCCAAAACGTTGCGCTCTGTTAAGCTCGTGATACGGGGACGAGTACGAGTACGACTACGATGAATCAAAAGCAAAGAAATTGTTTACAAAAATCGTGCAAAGCCGTGTACAAGGCAAACAACAAATAGTTATAGATGTAATTCATATATTTGTGTGTTTGTTTGTGTGTATATTTGGCCCACAAAGCCCACTGCCTATAGCGCAATGACCGGCAATTGTTGCATAATTGCAGCATTGCTGCATTTGCAACAGAACTGCAGCGGACCCAGAGCTTTTGGGTCTATTGGGTCTGCGCTTTTAATTAGCCACTGGCTCATAGAGCATTAATTATAGAGCAGTCCCAGGCTTCCCGTTAGCTAATAGAAACCATCTCCAACTATATAATCAATTGCAGCGACGACAATGCCCATGTGGTGCTCAAGTTTCTGGAGAACGATCATCGGGTGCGTGAGACGGTCTACGGACATGAGTACAAGATACGCGCCGAGTTCTCCAAGCCAAATGGTGGGTTGTGCCGCGCTCTCTCCCTCGAGCCAACTACTAACGCTCTGCCATGCCCATTTTCCAGATACCTATGGCCTGCGTGTGGGCAACTGCTTTGCCTTTGACAAGAAGAACCGAACCCTCAAGCTCACCGATGATAGCGGGTAAGTTACTCGCTCAGAAAGTGTCTGGAAAACAGTTAGTATCCGATTTGAATTTGCCCAAAAGCTGCCCCTATGATGCCACGATTATCAGTCGCTTTGTGCCCACTGCGGATGGAAGAGCTGCCGAGGCGACTCTCACCTCGATGTTCAAGTTTCCTGAGGGTAGGACTTATTGGATCTCCTTAACAGTTGAAGCAACTCGATGCTAACTTTCTCTCTCTCTCTCTCTCTCGCTTTTTGTTGTGTCCGACAGGCTCTGAGGTGCATCTGCAGTGCGATGTGATCCAGTGCTATGGTCGCTGTGTGGAGATCGATGATTGCAATGATGTGGCCCTGGCTGGCTTCACCAAGGGCGGTAATACACCAAGGAAATTCGGTCCAAATGAGGAGGGCTCCAGCCTGGCCGGCACCACAGTCTTTGTTCTGGATCCCGCAGAGGCTCGATGTAAGTAGCAGCTTCAAATGAATGGCGATTTATGGATATTCATTGATTTACTATATGCGAACAGTAATCTCGTCGAGCTGCGAGGATGGAATACGACCCAGTTGGTTGCTCTGGCTGACCATTACATTGGGTGTCCTATTCCTAATCATGCTGCTCATGAACATCTTCCTCTGCACGGCCATGAGCTGCAGTTGTGCCAACACAGAGGTCAGTTTTCCGCGTTTTATGAGTACATAAATCATGGCTAATAGAACACATCTTGCACGTTGCAGATCATCGAGAAGGAGCCATCGATCATCGAGGAATACGATCCGTATCGCAGCTGGCACGGCAGTCAGTATGGCTCCCGGTATTCGCTGCATGGTCGGGATGCGCACAAGGGCTACACCAGCGGCGGTTCGACGATACACTCAAATAGGTCTGATAGATATTAAGCTGCCTCCACAAGCCACATAAAAGCCAACACACAGATACACACGCATACATATACACACGAACATCTCTATTCTCTACACCTGCTCTGCTCTCCCAAATTATTTTCCGGTAGCTGTGGAGCCCCCAAGCAAAACAAACAAACAAACACAGACACAGACACACACACACACACCCACACAACAAAAAGCATGCCTACAACAAAAGTATCTTGTATCTGCGTCTCTATGTATCGTATTTCGTTTGTACTCGTACTCGTATCTCTTGTTCTTGTTAACGTTAACCTCTGCTGAAGTGCCCGCCCTTCTGGACAGCAAACCAACCTCCAACCAACAACAGCCACAACACAAAAATCACAACACCAACACAGCCTCTTGTGTGTCTTCACCAAAACCAATACAAAAACAAAAGAGAGAATGATAAACCATTTCGTGCCTAGTATTGCAACTGTAATTAACCGATAGTAACTTCCATTTGATATAAACTAACACTCCAACTAAGTTTCCTGCTCCCACTTTTACCCAGAACAATAGATCGAAAACAATACGAGTACTCGTACTCAAACTCGTAGTCGTACGAAAACTAACCGTCAGTTTCAAGGAGTTTGCTAACTAATCCGTCTTGAAGATTTCTCTTGAGCTACTACTCGTATTTCTCTATGCAATTGAATTGTATTGTATTAAATCCAAACTTATCCAACGTACTTCGAAGGTCAATGCCAATCGATAACGATAACGATTATGCAATTGTGCACTCGCGTCCCGGCTCTAGACATTCCACGTTACACGGACAGCGCGCCCATCGGGGACCGCCCAGTAATATCTGAACCGATAAACCCAATTGATAGGAACGCGACCATAATGAAAGTAGTTCTGTAAGCTAGCTTAAGATTCTCTCCCTCACCCCTCTATCTTGCGTCTCAAATGTATATAACTACAAGATTATAAGATTATTCTTCTTCACCCTACAAGTTTTTCCAAATTCCTAACGATAGAGATGATGCCGCTGTAAAATACTAAACTAAAAGGAAACACTAAACGTCCCCTTTGCCCTAATTATAATACAACTACTTAACATAAGTCATTAGTCTGTCATAAGTGCGAAAAAATGTGTGTTAGCGAAATGTTTCAACTACTTGTAAAAATAAACAGAAGCCGGCAAAATTATTTTAAAGTACACACACAACTACAGTATAGTCTAAAATGTTAAGAAAAGTAAACCCAACCAACCAACCCCATTTGGAACACGCGTTAAACGTACGAATTGTAATTAATTTAATATTAAAGCAATTAATTTAATAAAAACTAAAAGAAACAACAAAAAAGCATAAGAATTTATTTTATTTGAGAATATATAAATATATACAATTTCAAAAATTTCTAACACAACACGACTATGATATATGTTTATGTTAAATAAGAAGCCGCAATATTACGTTCAATTTGTAGTTCACTAGATTGGACACTAAAATTCTCATACGGCGCTAACAAACTATCAAATTGGTATCTTTGAGAGAAAATCATCCTGTGGAATTGCTCTATTTTGTAGAAAATAAATTAAAGACCTGTGTTACGCTGTGGGATGCCGTGAGGAAGTGCCTAAAGATATGCCACAGTTTCTTAAAAAGTTTCATTCAGGCACTCAATTACAAATGAATCATTTATAAAATCAATTTAAGCGCCCACCCGCATGTCCGCTGATTCCAGCCCTGCGCTCAGCTTATCTCCCTTCGCTCTCACAACGAGTTTCTGCCTGCTTAAATTCGCTCTCGGGCGGCTGCTCTCCTACCAACACCGACAATTTGCACTCTTTTTCAAAACAGCTGTCGGCGTCTCCATGATGTAATTATGTAAGGTGGTCCCGTCGGCATATCGGCACTACCATCAGTGCTGTAAGTAAGTGCGAGTGAAACGACAATGGAGTGTGCATGGGGTGTAAAGTTGCCCATTGCAAGAATAAGAGCTGAAGTTTTCTTTTGAATTTTGACCTTTAAAAATATACTACTTAATATTAGCCGTTACTTTTGTTTCTCAATATATATTTGTTTTCTTAGGCTCTTCATTCTAAAATAATTTGCAACTTTCTTGCATGAAAATTCCGTGTCGACAAGAAAACACGCACTGAAATCTAATGGTGCAAGAGTGCGATGAGCAGCCGATAAGACCACCTTATATAGTTGCTCAATGGTCTCCGTGCATGATTTTCGCATGGCTGTGGCTGTTGGTTCATTTCAAAACAGTCAGTCGTGGAGGGTGCTCGGAAAAAAGAGAGAGAACGGCTGAGACCAGACCAAAGCAGAGCACCGTACGCGATTTTTGTTTGAATGACTGTTGTGTCGGGCATGGCTGCATTTGTGTCTGTGTGTGTGGAAAGAACTTCGGCGGCAACAACGACAGCGACAACTAAAACGGCGAAAACAACGTAAAAAATAGTGAAGCATAAAGGCGAAGACTGAAGAAAAACACAAAAACCCAAGCGACCAAGCGACCAAAAGCGACCGCGTGCCCGTCCAAGTGTGTGTGTTCAGTGTACGCCGTGCGTGTGTCTTCATGTTGTGATTGTGTGTGAACAGTGGGAAGGGTTTTTGTTTTCTTACCTTCAGCCGCCATACTCTACCTGAGCGGGGCTAATTCATAAATCTATTCAGTTTTGGTACTTTGCATTGCGTGCCGTAAATCCCAGCAACAACATGCACAAATAATAGCATTCGCCAAGCATTCGTAAATGTAAGTGACCGTGATGCGATTTAATAACAGTGCATGGCTGGGAATAATAACAACAACAACAGCAACAACCATAGACTACAACTATAAACTGTGCTTCCAACGCGTGACTAAAATCGATTGGAGAGTCAAAGAACAACAAAAGCAAAGACTGTTTTTGCAACATCCCAAACGCCGTTTGTTCAGAAATCATATAAAAGGAAGTTATCTCTGTTTGACCAGCTTCCATGGCTCCAGATATCTCCTTTCAGAGCAAAGCAAAGCAAAGCAAAGAAAAGATAATTTCGTAATTGAAGCAAGAATTTTTTATTACAAAAGTACCGCGACTGTGAGCACTGAGAGTAGAAGTTCCATTTTGAGTTCCTAAATATGTATAAACCTGATGTAAAACTGTGCTTAAACATACGGTACGACAAATTGAAGCAGCAGAATTTTCACTGTACATAGCATATAATATTGTACATACATATTTTGTACATAGTACATAAATATGTACATATCTGTGCATGTTTTTGCTTCATGACTCATCTTTGCCAACTGCAATCTCTACGCAAATTACTTTGGCCATCGAAATATAGATATTTATAAACCTCTAAGATAGGTCGCCCAAAAACCAATTTATCAAAATAATAATATTATAATTATTTTCTACCTCCATCTGTCCCTCAACGAAACCCACTCTTCTGCAGCTTATGCCCAAATTTCGTGAAGCATTCAAGAAAATGCACTGTTCTCTGCGCCAAAAGACGCAATCGTTGAGCATTATTTAAATTTAGCCACGCGCCTTTCTGGCCCACTGACAATTCTCTACAGACGCCTGAAATACTTGTACTCGCTGAAAATGTCATTAACCTCGGTGATTTGAATTCGAATGTTGTCGTTAGATTCGATTCACTGTAAAGAATATTGAGCTTTATGCAAATACGAAAGATAAAGCCAATGACATTCCCAGTCAAATCGCGGCATACATGACTGACCGAATTTTTCCGTCTTTCTAGGTCAACAATGTTGTCTTTTCTCTGTTTGTTCCGCAAATATTGTTCCCAGTCAGTGAAATGCATCATGAGCACTTACTACTATAAACATACGCCGCTAAGAGGTCAGTTCTCTTGAAGAATGCACATTGATAACTTCCATGCAATAAACAATTGGAAAACGCATGTGACAAAGAAAACATTGAGTTGTATATCACTTCGAGTGGCACTTTCGTTTAGTGAGCGAATTCGATTGTGGGCTCCCCTGCACTCAAGACTGGACTCAATTAATTTCCGTCTGGGACTGCTTGTTGTAAAGATTTGTAGAGTCAGCATTTCGGCACAAGAAATCAATGAATTATTATCCTTCTTTGTTGCATTTGACAATAATTTATGTACTTTCCAAATCATGCATTCGCTTTATACCTACTATATATCCAGTCGAAAGTCTCGTTCTTATCGCGCTTTCTGTTTGTTTATCCAAGTACAAACACGATCTCAGGCATCTGCCACTCTGCTGCAGCAGCTTAAATCAAGGGAACTAAGTAAATGAAACCCTCAGACAAAAAAATGCATACATATGTACATACATTCGTATGTATGTATGTATTTCTAATCAATTTCAGACAATCTCTAGTATTAAAAGTTAACTAATTGTTTTGTACAATATTTATGAGCCAGGGCCCAATACAGCAAACCAAACAAATAAAACCCATGTAGAATAAGCGATCATTTTGGAACTCTACCTTGCGTCAGGCCTACCTATAAATGATGTCATGTTCTCCCCATTAAATGCTGGGATCACATGGCACAGAGCTGCTCTTATATATTTGTATATGCGAGTATATGGCATAGTATGAGCTTGAAGCCCAGTTCGTGGTGTGATTTCTGATCATTAGCTGGCGCTGGTTCGCAGAAATTCTCGCATTCTTCGTTGTCTCTCTTTTATGACGGAAATTCATTCAAACATCGTCATGTACAAACATATGTGTGTAGTATTTACCAACAAATGAGCTCATCTGAACTCGATTATCATTACATATGGTTTTCCCTTGTCTTACGAGTATATGCCAAACATTAATAAATGCCATTCAATATAGAACTTTATGTTTGTCTGTCTCGTAATTGGCATCTAATCGCTGGAGAGTGACCCCCATGGACACCTCTCGAAATCAAATGGAGATACCGCCTTGCATGAGGCTGTATCTCTGGCATCGCCCACACGCAAAAGTTGAGCGAGTGTCTGACGTTTTTCCACCCATTTAAACTCGCATCGGTATTAAAGATAAACTAGTACATACTACATACATATACATATGTACATTTATGTATGTAGTATTCATATAAATTGCAGCAATTAATGTAGTCAGACCCACACTGTGACATTTCTCTTAAATGTTAAATGCATTTCAATTGTATTCCGCCTTGTAGGTTGTTCCCCTTTTTACTTGTTTCATTGCATGTCTAATTGTGAAAAAATATATCGATTTTTGAATTATAAATTGCATTATAGTTGCTGTTGTTGTTGTTGTTGTTATTCCGGACTGCGATTCCTGGTATAGTTACTCACATCTAACCTTACATAACGCAAAGGTCTCTCTTTGTCTCTCTTTACTGAACAAGAACACAATTTGGTTTATCTCATTTCGTTTTAGCAAATGAATACTGACAAAAAAAGTGATGACTGAGGCGCGATAAGAGAGAGAGAGTCAGCATCGAGGGACTACAACCGAACAATCTCAGCTATAATAAAGAACTACAAAAACTATACGAATATAGTGTAGAGGAATAAAAAAAGAGTGCAAAAATGACAATTACGTATACAGGTGAAGTGGCCACTTGTCGCGGCTTTGGCTGTTTTCTCAAATTGTTGCTCAGGTGAGTGAAGTTAAAGTCTCAACTTATATACACTGTTCACACGAAGTAGGCAAGTCATTGAGCATATATATAGATAGAGAGTGCGAAATTGCTAGCTGTCTGTTAATTATAGAGCACTGACACAGTTCATACAATTGGTAGGGATAGCCCCACACACAGAGAACGGCAGTCCGAACAATTGCCGCAAATGCAAATTACACTTGTAGAATTTTTCCACTTTCTTTCATGATGCAAAACTGCACTGAAATTGCTCCTCCACCACAGAGAGTGGTCTGTCCCCTATCAGTGTGGGTAGTAATCTGAACCTGATGTAGTCCCATGAATGTACTTTGTGTCTGACATCTGTCAGGGCTTGTTGT